CCTGTATTTCTGATATGTACTTACCCTAATCATTATGTGCATTCCCATATTTTGCTGTAAAGACTGAAAGCATGCAAAGATACCTACCCGTGGTCTACAGATAAGGCCACTGTGCCCTCAACAGTTTCTGGACACTTTCAATTATCTTGTGTTTCACTTTCAAGTTCTCAGAATTTGCCAACTCAGAAACAGTCCTTTCACTGGTTCTCACAAATACGATTTGTATTTTATAAATATTTTGTATATGATTTATATAAGAAATGCCATACTGTATTGGATTCCTGATATATAACATGATGTATGAAAAAAAAGAGGCCACTACACTGGAGGAGAGAATACATTGATTCAAAATCCAGTTACTGACCTTGCCTTGTTTCTCTGTCAGTGAGTGGCACTACTGTTTTGCCCAGTGTCTGAAGCCAAACTTGAGTTTTACCTGAAACATCTCCCTTCCCTCAACTTCCTCATCATAGATCTTTCCGAGTCTACCTCTTAAATTTCTCTCAAATACATCTACTTCTCTTGATAACTCCACCATTATTTGGTTACAGTGATCTCTCATCTAAAATATTACAAATGTTTTCCAACCTATAGCAGCACAAGATTGACCGTGGTGCTTTTTGTGGAAGGACTTTTGTCATGCTCATTATATTAGCAACACACACTTGTTATCTCATAGGGTCTATGAGTCAAAATCTGGTATGATTTAGCTGACTTCTAGGCTTCAGAGTCTTTTATGATATTGAAATAAAAATGTTTCACCTGAAAGTTCAATGGGGGGAAGATCTGTTTCCAAGCTCATGCAGCTGTTGGCAGGATTTCTTTTGAGTTGTTGGATAGAGAGTCTTAGATCCTTGCTAGCTGCCAGCCAGTGGCTGCTCTCCATACCTTGCATGTGATCCACTCCATAAAGCAGCATGCAGTATGGTGGCTTGTTGCATCAGAACCAACAAAGGACAGAGTCTGGTGAAAGGTGAAGGCCAGAATCTTATGTAACAGATTCGCAAAAGTGGCATCCCATCATCTTTGAGATATTGTATTGGCTAGAAGCAAGCCACAGGTCCTGCCCACACTCAAGGGGAAGGGATTACACAAGATCATAAACCAAGAGGCAGGGATCATCGAAGGCTATCTTAGAGTCACTTGGCCACATTCAGCATTTCCTTCAGTTTCTTACACTTCCCATAAAAACACATAATTTTAGGTAAAAGTTTCTGCAGTCCATACAAATGTAGCTTCAAAGGAAATCTCTGAGGATGCAGGTGTAGAGAAGGGGACCCTCTTATGCACTTCCTTACTACCCTTTACTTCTTTCTACTTACTTACCCTTTATTTCTCCTTTATTTCTCTTTACTAATCACACTGTATTACTGTATTATTGTTGTCTCCATTATATACCAAACAAAGACCTTGGCTGTCTTATTCATTTCCAGTGCCTAGCCCAGACTCTGCTATATAGTAGGTGTTGAAAAATATTTCTTATGTGAATAAAGAAATGACTTCATGTAATGCTCTGTGGGATGACATGTTTGTTCTCTGTTATTTACCCTCATAAATTGATAAATACCTCAAGCTAGATTACCTTAATACATCAATTCTGTCATTATCATCAATGAATGGATCAAAATCCCTCTAGAATTTATTGTTTCTGCTTTTACCATGGATTAATGAGCACCATTATTTAATAACTATGTGCATTTGCCACAAAATTACCTATTTCTTGATTCAAAAAGACACCTTTATTTCCATCATTCCAATAGCCAATAATCAGTCCCATGTTCATACTCTCTAACCCCTCAGAAGGCTAAAGACTGCAGTCTAAACACTTCACCAACTTCCCCTTACCTCATTGAAGAATTCCAGCCTTATTGTTCTGTCTTCATATGAAAAATATCTGATCTTTTTGATTAGTTGGTCTTGCCTGGATCTTCTCCAACTATATTATATCTGCTTTAGGGTAAATGAACAGAATTTTACACATGTACACAGTGGTTTTGTTCAAGGCAACACAAAGTTCTTATTGAAAAGTTAATGTATAAAAATAAAGATGGTGCATTTTCTGTAAGGTATTTTATAATGGCCTTGGTTCTAGCGTAAATTGGTTTCTAGGAAGGCTTTGGGGTTGAAATGTTGGCTTTTATTTAATTTAATTAAATTATTTAATTTAATTTAGTAGCATTTAATTAAATGCTAGGGTTAAAAATTGCACCATGCCCAGTCTGGGGATAAAGTCTGTCTTCTGTAAACTCCATAATAATTTTCTTAATCTCTATCTTTACATAAGACTGCTCCTCCCTGAGGTTTTGAGAACTATTAAGTATTTTTTTAAAGTGGCTCATGCTTACCAGAAGAATGATAGAAAATTAAGTTGGAAAATTAGACTAGAACCAGTCACAATGGACCATAGATCCTTCCTATGGCATTTTGACTTAACGCTACAGGAAGTGTGGAGACATTGGAAGAATACCATGATGAGAACTGAGCTTCCAAAAGGATGGAAAGAACATTTTGAGGCTGTCACCATTATTGTAGGAAGTGGAGAGGCTGAAGATTAATGATGATAGTGATAACAATTAAGAAAAAAAGCATAAATATGATACACTTCATATGTAGTGAAAGAGAGGACATTTATATTAACTTTTAGATTTTGAGTCTGGATGACTGGAGACATGGTAATGCCATTGGAAGGAAAAGAGAGCATAAGAGGGAAGAAAGCAGATTCCAAAAGGCAGGGAATGGGATTCAGTTTGTAGTATACTGAGCCAGAGGGGCTGCCAGATACTCAAGGTATAAATGACTACTGGCTGTCAAAAATAAATATCTACTTATAAAGGGGTAAGGATTAAATGATTTGTTGCTTTACTGGAGTCTCTGGCACACAATAATATTAGATAAATGGTATTAAACAAAATTTCCAAAACTCATTATCAGGATTGAACGAGGAACAAGCATTTTGATATATAAATTTTCCTCAAGGTGTGAAGAAACTGAAGCCCAGAATATTTAAATAACTTTGATAAGATCTCAAAGCCAGTAACTACTGAATTGGACATTTTCTGAGCTCAATCACAAAACTATTACATAAGCAAGAAATAATAGTATTATAAAATTTAAATTATCTTGATATTTATAGGAAATATCACTCAACTAAATAGGGTCTGGTTTGATCCTGAGAAAAAAATTCATGAAGATGAAATCCTAAATTGCAGAAAGATAAAATAGCTACCAATGATATTTTAATCATCTAAGTTTTCCCCCTGAGACCAGAACCTTAGCATTTTATGAAACAATAAGATCCACTATACATTTTTAAATTATTTATTTACAAATTCAAAATATCTCCAAAAATTCATGAAGAAAGTAAAGCTTTATTTTAAAAAAAATGAATTTTGAAATTTTTAATTAACAGAAATGTTGGTTAGGGATGGTTCTGAAATAGTGAAAGAAAACTACTGAGAACTAAGAGGCTCCAAAGACAAAAATATTAACTTTTACATATCAGAGGAAGACTTCCAGGGTTAAGGTGCCAGTGAAAAATTTCACTGCTCCCTTCTCCTAAGGTAAATCATACCAAAAGAATTAGAATAGTAAGAAACAGATAGACAAGACATTTTGGCAAAATTAGGAGATAAAATAATAAGTAGAATAAAATAGAGGCAAATTTCATCTTTGTCAAATCCAGCAGACACAGACAGTCCTATAATAGAAAATTTGGGAAAAGGATGCCAGGTACAGTGAGGCACGCACAGGGGTATAAGATCATCCAGAGACTGTACTCTGGCATTTGCAGATCTCAAACAGCAGATTTTCAAAATTTAGACCACTCCGAGAGCAAAATCAACAGAAAAAGGATATAAGTAAGGCTGAAGCGGATATTAATAAATTAGAAAAAAAAGTGAAACTAAGAAATAAGTCTAAAAATGTATCTATTGATTAGAAATAAAAGACAAAATACTGTTAATTTACTCACAGAAGCACGGAGGAAAATGAGTACACAAAATAAGAAATGACAACAGGTAAATAATGTCAGACATAGAAAATTAGAAGAATTATTTGAGATCACATTGCTCAAATCTATGCATATGAAACTTAAAACATACGTGAAGATAATGATTTCCAGGAAAAAAATCGAAAATCATTCCCAGAAGATGTAAGAAACTCTAAATTATTTAATTAACATGGAAAAAAAAAAGAGAACTTTGTCAGGGACCTACCCTACAAAAGGTTTTGCATATGGATTATTTTGCAACATAATTCTGGAAAAAAAATAATTGAGAATTTGAGCTCAGATGATCTCTGAATTGCTCCAGTGGAGAGAAATGGGGAAAAAAAAGCACCCATTAGAAATAATGTGTTTGATATGGAGAAATCATTCCTATTCAAATAAAGAGCCAGGCAAAGATGGCCACTATCACCAAAATGTTTGAACATTGTTCTGGAGGAACTAGCAAACAAAAATTTGACAAAAAGGGAAATAAGAATTATAAAATTTAGAAAGTAAAACTGTTGTTTGCAGTTGATAATAGTAGACATGTGAAAAGTTCAAGAGAATCAACCAGAACAATTCTGTAAGGGGATTAGTCACAAAATGATTATACACAACATAGTATTCCTACAGTCATCAACACCCAGATAAAAACATATTATGGAAGAAAATATCCCAAAACAATAGTAATAAAACAACCACAAAGGGGAAGATTCCTAGAAATAAATATGTGGAATCTATACAAAGAAAAGTTTAAACCCAAACAAGAAGCCCAAACAAGTCTTGAATAAATAGAAAGATATACCCCATTTCTCTATATGAATTTTTAACATCCTATAAATATCAGTTATCCCTAAATTAATCTATACATTTAATATGAATACAATAATATACAAGAGGTTATTTTTAGAAGTAAGCAAGCTGATCGTGAATTTCATTTGGAAAAACAGCTTGGGAAAAATCAGGCAAATTCAACTTGAAGAAAAATAATGAGGAATTAGTCTTCTGAGATGGAAAAAATATTTAATAAAACTGCCACAAAAAGGTGTAGTTCTAACACTTAAATAGGTAGACAATTAACAGAGCAAAATAGATGGCATGTTGATGAACTGAGCCTTTGTTCTGATATCCCCAAATCCCCACACTTGCTTTTCTCCAATGTGAACGGCATAGAACCACATTTCCGAGACTCCTCTGTGTATATAGTCTTCTGTGCCCTGTGCCCTCCATCTTCAGGCTGGGTTCATGCAACAAAAGGCATTGGCAGAGACTGGCAGGGAGGAAGGGGGAAAAATCCAAGTTATATCTCAGGCACTCTCTCTCCCTCTCTCTCTCCTTCTCTCTCCATGGCTCCTGATCCTGCAGGACAGCCATTACCCCCATGATCTCAGTTCCCAATGAACATCCCTTGAAATGGCTGTATCTCACTGGGATCATTGACTTCCTGGCTCTGATCACTAACTTCTTGCTTTATCACTACAATAGCAGGAGTGGTATCAGCTTCCTGCTGTTGCTAATCTCTGCCCTCTATTTGGTGCCCCTATTTCCTCCACCTGTGTAACACATTCCCTACATAAATGCTCTGTAATACCTAGAGTGATTTCTGTGTCCCTACCTAGACCCCAGCTGTTCCTGCTGGCAACGTGTATCAGCAGAGAAAAATGTACCAGTCAACTCTGGGTTGAGAAAATTGGAGAGATATTTGGAAAAAAAAATACTATGGTCCATCTCTCTCCTTATACCAAAACAAAATCCAGATGAGTCAACAATTAACATTTGAAAACATTCTATAAATGTGCTACAAGAAATCACAAGAGAATAAAACCTTACTAACTACGACACAAAACTCAGATGTGGAAGAAAGTATAGACAAATGAGACTACATAAGTATAAAAAGCAATCACAAAACAATAGCAGTGTAAACAAAGTCAACCTATAAAATACATATAAACAACTTACATACAGATAATGGGCTAATTAACCTGCTACAAATCTCCCAGAACTATGGACAGTATAAGAAAAAATTAGCAAAAGCATGACTGGACAGTTCACAGAAGGAAAAAACATGAAGATCTGAAATATCTTAAATGCATATTAACATTTGATTACACATTAACATTTAAGATGTTAAGTCTCACTCACAATAAAAGAAAAGCAAATTTAAACTATAATGACATACCTCTCTGGTGGGAAATTGATAATGCTTTGTAGGAAAAAGGTACTTCATACATTGCTAGTAGAATGGACAGATCTCTTCAGAAAGCAACTGGGCACTAACTACCAATATAAAAATGCACACTCAAGTCCTAGCAATTGTATTTCAAGAAATTTACTCTTCCACTACAGTTGTGTATTTGCAAATTGAAATATTTAGTAGGATTTTATTGTGGTATTGTTAAAGTATAGTAGAAGATTGAAAATAATCTGTGTCTAACTGGGTACTACTTAAGACATACAATGAAATTTTAATATCATTGAAAAGTGCAGCATCTCCAAGATATACTAAAATAAATTACAGTATATGGCATACTACCTTTGCATTAAGAATGTATATAGAATAGGGTGTTTGGGTGGCTTAGTCAGTTAAGCGTCTGCCTTTGGCTCAGGTCATGATCCCGGGGTCCTGGAATGGAGTCCTGCATCGGGCTCCCTGCTCAGCGGGGAGTCTGCTTCTCCTTCTGTCCCTCCGCCCCTCTCCCCGCTTGTGCGCGAGTGTGCGCATGCTCTCTTTCAAATAAATAAAAATCTTTAAAAAAAAGAATGTACACAGAATAAATGCACATGATGACACGTGAGTAAAACATCTTTGAAACATAGTTAAAAACTTTTAGTGGGGAAAAGAGGAACTAAGACCTAGGGAAGGAGACAGTTAACTGTAAACCTTATGAATTCCTCGATTCTTTCAACGATGTGCTTGTGTAATTTTAGGAATTTAAAAAATTAGTATTTCAAGTTAAATGTTTTAGTTTAACTCTCAGTGAAGAAAACATGTAAGGGTAAAAGGGTTGGAAATAATTTGGATTTTATAAATAGAGATATTTTGAGCCCTTATATGATTTTTGAAGTGAAAATTTTTTTTTTCAATTCTGGTTGAAAAAGAAACAGTGTTTTCTTTAAGTATTCACCTGAACACACATGAAATTGCCGTGCATTATTTTATCTCAGTAATCTATGAAAAATTACAAGCAGTCTCTCCAGACCTGTCTGGCTGAGGCACACAATGCCATCTCCAGCATCACGTCTAACTCCTCAGATACAACACACGGCTCCTGGCACAGGTCTCTAGTAAGTTTTCAGTTGGAACAAAGGATAATGCTACCATTGATTGACCACCTAATATGACCTAATACGTTTTAGGAGCTTTACCTTTATGGTCTTTAACCCTCACCATTGCTTAACATTTTCTGCATTTTACCAATGACAGAAATGGCACTCAGAGACGTCGAAGTCTGTCCAACACCATTCAGACATTGTTGATGCAGAATGCAAACCAGATCTGGCTCATGGAAGCCAGCACTCTTCCCACCACTCTAGGTCTCCACATATTAGATTCCAATACACATCATTTTATTTCCAGAACCCCCAATTCATGCTCACTAAGTAAACAGTTCCTCTCAGGACATTCTTTTCCTGTGCCAACCTAAGTTCTCACAGACATTCTGGAAAACAGGCACTCTTCTCTGGATCAGTAAAAATAAAAAAATACTAACCCCAAGTAGTAGGTTCCTTAATTAGCTCCTCTCTCTCCACATATCTTTCTGAACACGAAATACACACACACACACACACACACACCAATCCACCCATCCTAAGCTCCATTTTATGTACAAAGCCAAAGCATAGGGCTCTAGATTATAAAATTAGTTAGTTAGCCTTCATATTGTCTGTCCTCATACCCCCACTGATTCAAATCCCTTCCTTCTGCTCAAGTGACTATTGCCCTTCCTTTCATCAAAACTCACTCTCATACCTTTCATTCACAATCAAGTAAAAATAATCCATAGTAACATATATCAGAGTTTTTCTGTTTGAGTTCCATAGGATTTCAATAGATATGATAGGATAAGTGGTTTGGTTAATATGTTGGGCTAAACAAAATATAATGCTTCTCAGAGTCTTTAAATTGCTAATGTGCATGCAAAGAGGAGCCCTATACCAAGAAGCAGATTCCAAGCTTAATAGATTCCAAAGATAACCATTCTGAGAAAGAATTAGAGTTGAATCCTCTAAAGTGGTCTTCAAAGTGAGATGCTAAGAACACACATTCCAACTTCAGAATATCCTTTGGAAATTATTTGCCTATAGCATCTGCTAAGGTATATTTGCAAATATAAATGTCTTAAGACAAATGAGAAACTTGAGGCATGAGTCTAAAATATTGGGTAGGAAAATATTTGAGGAAATTACGTCTTCCCTACAATCTTGAAATCAGCTGAGTAAGCAACTGCACTTAAAAGATCGGCATACTTTTTCTCTTTTTTCTTTCAGGTTTTCCTCAATTCACTCTGTGTTTATCAGTATAATTACCTATGCTTCCTACACCCAAGCAAGAAAAAATGAATCAAACTCTTAAAAAAAAAGAAGAAAAAAAGTTAAAATTATATTAAGATACATTCAAAGTAAGTTTCAAAGGTAAATAATTCAAGCTACAAGTTAAGTAAAAATCAGAAAAATAAATTCTATAAAATATTCTAATATATTTCTAAACACTGAGGCATAACCCTGAATATTTTAAACAAGTAAACTGGTAAGGTACATAAATTAATTAGAGAAAAGCCTTATTGACATTAGGGCAGTACTTCTCAAATTAATATGCATAAGCATCAGTCAATATAAGGGAAATCTTGGAAAATGCTGATTCACTAAGTCTGAGGCCTAAGATTTTGCATTTCTTGCATTCCTTTGCATTTCTCTTCTAGATGATGCCAATGTGCTAATTTGCAGACACATTTGAATAGTGAGGGTTTAGAATATATTATTAATTCTACCTCTTGCTCAGAGTGGTTATCTCATGGAAGCTTATTGATATGAATACACTGTCTGTTAATTAGAAATAGGCTGTGTTAACAAACCCAAAAAATGCACGCCAAGAATCAACACAGGATTCTTTTGCCCAAAAAGTAGACCTAGCATTTTAGGAAAATAATTCAAGCCAAAAACAGCAGCATTTTTGCTTTACACACTGAACTCATTTTTAATCCACATGTCAGCGAAAGACTGAGTATCCTGAGAGGGCTTCTGTTAATTAAGAACTGCGGACTGTTGAGTGACATTCCCTCTGCTCTTAGCCACCTGTTAGGGCCACCAGCCAAGAACTGAAGTTACAGGAAAGATGCCAAGCAGCAAGAAATGACTTAAGGTAATGCCAGATTTGATAATCTGAATATCCTCCCTGTTGGTTATCAGAAGACGCTTTCATTATCATAGCAAATATATTCAATTCTACCCTCTCAGTTGGACTTTCTTTTCCTCTGCCTTTCTCCTAAATTATCACCAGTGGAGGCTGACTATAGCAATTTTTCAAGTAGATTGCATAATGTTTTCAAATTGCTAACTTGCTCCCTCATCTCCTATTTGAATCTATTTTTTTTTTATTCTCTTGATGAATACACTTGATTTTATAAGTGTGTTGCCCTAAAGCTAGGTTATACATGTCTTGAAAAATGCTTGCTTAAGACTATTGATTTCTGAAATTGTTGGGCTATAGCCAACAGCGGACATTTTTAACACTCTTGTGATTTCAGTGACTTACAATGTCATATTATCAAAACCCTTTACTCATATTTGCAAAATTTGTACCTGAATGACACTGATTAGGCATCTGGTCCATTGAGCTCTTCTTAATGAAGGCAGCTACTTCCTCTCTTGCTGCCAAGGAAATGGCAGCCTCCATCTCTCACTTCACTATTGCACTGTTGCTTTTCCACCATTTTCATTTTAAATTATGCAGCGAGATGTAGCTCAATCCCTCAATCCTATTACCACAAACTCCAAGAGAGATCTTACTCCCTTGTTGCTGCTCCTTTGTCAACTGGATTGCAGTAAGAGTGCCATCACCTGGCTCCAGTCTTTTGGTTATTCAGATGTTTTTGTTACAATGGGATTTGCTCTTACAAGATTTAACCTGGAGGGATACCAAGAGTGGTGGCCCCAGTGTTCATGTGCGTGTTGGTGAATAACATCAGTTGTGTAGTATTGGATCTCTAATCTTCTTGGTTCCACTAAGTGAATTTGCTGAGAAGCTAACCTTTAATCTTCAAAAGGAAGAAT